TCTCTGAATATAGAGTTATAGATGGTTGGAAAAGACCTCTCAGATCCCCAAGTCCAACCCCAGGCCACCCCACCATGCCCACAGACCACAGTCCTCAGTGCCACATCTCCACAGCTCGTGAACCCCTCCAGGGATGGTGACTCCACCACCTGCCTGGGCAGCCTATGCCACTGCTCTTTTGGAGAATAAATTATTATGTGTTCAGTGGTACAAAAAGGGCATAAACAAACAGCATGCCAGCTGCAGATAAACCTTGTATCCGTGGTGGCTCTTGGCACAGGAGATGAGTAAATTTTATTAACATTGTCATTTCCAATCCACCTCATCATAAAGGACTTGGACGTTTTCTATTACAGTTGCAGATCTACCTTAACATCACAAAAGCACAATGCGGGAAATTAGATATAAACTGAAAAATAATTAAAGGCCTGGTGACAACTTGATAACGTTGTGTAATTAAAGCATTGGTAACAAATCCTGAATTTTAATTTTTCTTGCTGCAGCTGATACTAGAAATCAAGATCAAATGTACATTCTCTATAGGAAAGCTAACTTGATTATGTGTTGTTTAAAGAGGAAAGGGAAAGAGATGAAAGCTGGAGTTGCGCTACAGTCCAGCAACAGATGAAAATGTGCTGGAGCTGAGTTTTGCCTTTGTGGACATTTGGTGGTGGTCATTCCATGATCCATCACATCTGCCCAGTCATCACAGCCCTGCTAAAGGAATTGGCCCAAAAACTGCTTTGGGGTAAAGAAATGAGATTTTGGGGCTGAATGGGAGAATACGGGCAATGGCCTGTCATTGCCCTGATGCCCACAAAGGCATCTTTTTCCTCTAATAAGAATATATAGTATTAATAGTTTGATATTGTGTCAAACATATGTTTAAACAACATCACTGGAGTCCATAAGCTGTATCAGAAGTACAAAGAGCACCAGAGGATGAATGCAGGGAGGCACTTTGGCTCTGGTAGCATGCTTAGCTCTATTATCTTTTCCACTTCTGATCCCTCTTTTGTTATCTCAGTGTTTCCCATCCCACCTGACACCATGTTTGTGATATTGTTATTCAGCCCTCCCTTGGGCTTGCAGCAAATATCAAGTTGTAAGCAGCAAACAGAAGGAGGTGGAGTTCTGGTAGGACTGGGACATGGGAATGTCCAGGGAGCTGACACCTGGCTGCCTTCCCAGAGAGGAGACTATGATGGAACAAAGCACAAACACCCCGCAAAATGCAGACTGTGCTCACAGAAACCAGGTTTGGCTTCTCCTACCTCTGCCAGAGCTGAGCAGCACAGTAGCAGATTGTAAAGGGACTCAGGGCCCTGCAACTCTATCAGTTTTGATCAATTTTTCAGCCAAGTTAGTAATACACTGGAGAGTGTGTCAACATGCTTTATGGAGGTCTGCAAGTGCCTACATGGCTAATCCATAACACTCAAATGGTTTCCTGGAAAACAGACATTTCGTTGTCACCACGAGGAGATTGCTAAGCAGTGGGGGAGAAAAATAGAGGAAAACCACGGGGCTGCTGCAGGCACTGCAGTGTGGGGCATGGCTTAGCAGCAGCACCCAAGGGATTGGCACTGCTTGGGGAAGCAGGAGACCAATGGTGCTTCTCTGTTTAATGGAAACTGGCAATCAATTTTTAGCAGCTGGTGGAGAAGCAATTTAAGTCACAAAACAGTTTCCCTCCCATTCCTCTGCCCCCCAGGCCTGAAATCATGCTATGAGCTGATGGCTTAAGCTGCTTGCTTAGGGCGTAATGAGAAAGTAGGACATTTAGTCACTTAAATACGTGAACGGTTCTCCTAAATATTCTAGTTTTATCAGTTTGTTATAAAATTATTTTGCTTTCAGAGTTGTTCCAAAGCCTTTTCTGAGGTGGCTGTTCAGAATGGGGCACTCCAACTACCCTTCCCCTACCCACCAGCTGCTGAAAGTTTACTTGAAATTGCTGTTAAGTGAGCCAGTGCCTGGACTTCTTCCAAGGCATCCAGTGGATCTCTGAGCTCCCTTCCAGCCTGGGTTTTTCCATGGTTCCATGATCCCATGATTCATCTTCTATGTTCTGAAACCTTGATACACTTTGGGTGTCCCAGAACACTGCAGAAGCTGGAAATTTAATATTACCATTTTCCCTTAGCAAGTTTGCCCTTACCAAATGTACAATTAAAGACATGCTAGGAGAGCTGGGACAAATCTCTGCTCACCCCACAGCATTGATCCTGTACAGTGTGTCCCTGTATCACATGTGCTCATGGCATACATCTGCCCTACAGACCAGTACTGACTGTGCTACTGCCAATCCAATCTTTCTCATCTACTTTCTCTTCTTATTTGTAGGACAATAACTGGTCTCAAAGGAGGAAGAAAATATTGCCTGGAGATCTGACTACTAACCCTGAGGAAAATCTCCTGACTTTTTCTCACAGTAACTGTTCCAAAGTGTGGCCATTTTCAGAGATTACCAGTTTCCTGAAAACCCTTTTTTTCTCCCACTGTGTTTAATATAAAATACTTTTCTTTTCTACAGCCTACAAAAGAAGGCTAATCCGAAAAGTGAAAGCCAAGTCCTTTGCTCTTCCCTGTGCTGAGCCCCAATGGAGAGAAACACACTCCCCCAGCAGCAAGCACATCGTACTGCTGTACTGCTGGCTGCAGCCTGGCTCATGCAGGACAGGCGGGCAGCGAGTGATCTGCTGCCAAATGACCTCTGTCAGCACTCGGAAAGAAAAAGACAACAGCCACCTGTGTTACCAGGAAAGGCCAAGCTCAACTAATGGGAAGCCAAGAGAAGAGAAAGAGCGGAAAAAACGTCCTTGCATCACCATCTAGTGGCCTCTGTGTTCAGCAGAATAAATCCAGCACCCATAGATCCTTTCTTGTGGATGATTCCTCTGTTAACCATATTGCAATCTGCCAAAAGGTGAGTGAGAACAGTGCTATGACTGCATCAGGAATGCTGGGCTGTCAAAGCACCTGGATGTGATGTATTTCTGCAGTACAGCTGTAAATGATTCAGTTTTCTACTGAATGTTCCTTGGAAAGTTTCCAGGCTCTCTGCTTCAGTCACAAGCCTTGCTGAAGGAGCGTATCTCAGAGATTGTTCTCCACAGCCTTACTGTTGGTTCTGCTGACTGTCTAACAGGGACAGACCCTAGCAATCCTCTGCTCTTCTGTACACCACTGCTTGCTCTGCTCTGAGATGAGGTGTTCTGAATCCTGCTGATGAAGTGCCATGAGCAGGTCCCAGCCCTTCCCAGTCTGCAGCTGTCTTGTGCTGGAAGCAGCACAAGAACATAGGAATTGAAATTCTGAGCGTGTTTTTTCCTGTTGAAGTCCTGTGAGCTACTGAGAGTAAAGGGAATGCTTTACCATAACTGTCTTTGTTCTCATAGATATATATTTTTAATGCTTAGTGGTCTGTAGAGCAAAAGCTGGTCAGGCCTTGAAACAAACAGCCCTTCTCGAGGTGGCCATGTCAGACTCCCCTCTGCCCTCTCCTTCACTCTATGATTACAGCTACATGAGAGATATGACCTCTAGTCAAACAGTCTGACAAAGGGTGTTTTTAGCGTTCCAAAAGAGCAGTGCCAGCAGCCAGCCTTTAATGGAAAAGCAGGAAGGGTGTGTTAAAAAAAAATGGATTTCCATGCTTCAGTTCTGGGGGAGTTGGGTCATGAGTTTCCAAACTACAAGGCTTGCAAGTATTTGGTGGTGCAGGTCCAGGGCTTGTCTCTGCAGTCTGATGGAGCTGGAGGGGACATGGCACTGTGTGAGTGATGCTGAGCCTTGTGGAGTCCTGGAGGACCAGCAGTTGTGTGGGGAAACACAGCTGCTTTGTCCTTCTAGAGGAACTAAAGCCTTAGCTTTAGACATTGCCCTCAGAGTCCAAAAACCTGTCTTCCTATTTGCACGAAACACACAGCTCAGCGCAGCTCAAGGCAGCACCTTGCCAGCACACCCCAAAGCACAACATGCCCGGCTGCCCCGAGGGCTGGCATTGCAGCAGGGTTGTGCACAAGGCCCTCTTGTCTCCTGTGCTGCCGAACAAAGGCTACTGCTGTGCACTAATGCCAGCTCGGTGCTGGGCCGGGTGCCGGGTCGGGCAGGGATTAGCTTCCAGTCAGCACACAACGAGCTCTCAGCATCTCGCAGCTCCCAGAAGCTGGAGGTTTCTCTTCAGCTCCTGTTGCTTCGGAAAGGTTTGGCTGTGGGGTGCTCAGGGCTGCGTGGCGTGGGCAGTGCTTCCTGTGAGGATGGGATGGGAGAAGTGCAGTGGGGGGGAACAGCGGGATGGCTATGGTGGGGAATGTAGGGGGCCTGGCTGTATGGCTCCTGGTGGAGCAGAAACGTGGGGTCCTGCTCCTGCCCTGTGCCCACTCTCCTCTCTGGGGACAGCTGGGACTTCAGATGTTGGCTGGAGGCAGTGCGGGGCTGGGAAGTGGAGAAGGAGTTCAAAGCAAATTGAAAAGCAAATAACATAGCCTCTCGATCTGCCCGGTGGCGGCTGACATCCCTCATCCACTTCCACTGGAGTTGTAAAGGCTTTACGCTCTCACTCTGTCCTTTTATTTCCCCTTGAAAACACCACAGCTCCCTGCCCAGGCATTTCCCATGTCACTGTCTGTACGAGGAGGACGGCGCGGCAGATGTCACCGCTTGGGCAGGGCTCGGGTTTCCCCCTCATCGCTCAAGTGACGCTGCTATCCCAACAGGTGCTGGCCAGAGGCCACCAGCAGTGTCCCCAGAGGTCGAGCAAGAGGCTGGTGCTGGTGGCAATGCTCACCTAGGAGCTGGGTGATACGCCGGCCTCCACGCCGTGCCACGAGCACACGGCCAGGCTGAGGGAGCCCTGGCACCAGCCCACACCATGGAGCCCACCTCTGAGATGAAGAGGTAGGTGGGGTGGGGAAGGGGTCCCTGTGTCATGAGCAGCCATGTGTGATTTGAGAATAAAAGCACATGTGCCCGCATCCTGGGAGGGATGGGGGTGAGGGAGGCTTTGTGAAGAGAGACCTCCTGTGTTTGCACGTGATGGAAAGAAAGAGATCCTGGGCTCGTGTTTCAGGGCTTCATTCAGCCTTCAGGGATGCAGGAGAGGGACTCCTTGTGCCTCTATATCTGCTGCTGCCAGGGGGAGCCTTTGGCTGTCATGCTCAGTGCTCCCAAAAGGTATCCACCTTCCCAACAATTAGTGCTAATCAGTCTTAGGAACCCTGCCTGCAGAGAAATGCTGAAAACCTCTGTAGGAGAGTTAATTTGGCATCCTCCCTCCTGGTGAATGCTTGTACTGAACAGTCCGTCCAGGCCTCCTGGCAGGTCTTCTATGGTGGCTGGAAACATTTGACCTGTTAGAAATGGAGTATGCATCCCCAGACTATCCCTGGAAAAATCATGCCATCTCTCAGTATTATGGTGGGAGATTTAGCCTGAAAATCACCTTGCTTGGTTCAGCCAGCTGAGAGGACAAAATAGTCCTCTGTTTCGACAGGCAGATATGGAAGAGGTCAGAAGGTTGAGTGGAAATTTGAAGAACTGGCCTGCAGCCAAGCTGGAGCTTATGGAAGGGGGCTAAGTTCAGGCTCATTACTGCAGAACTTCTGTAAGGCCTTTTATAAGGGATCTGAGGTCGAGATGACAGAACTGAGACCTTTGATCTACCTTGTGGGAGCCTGAATAGCTCTTTCTACAGGGTTTTTATAATGAACTCAAATGAAATGGGAAGTTCTTACAGAAGCCTGGCAGCACCCCAGTGTCTCCAAGTATTTCTGGGACACCTTAGTCTTTTTTCATTCACGGTATTTGCACACATGGCCATTTCCATGCTACCTACTAAAAGTCTTTGTATGCTCATGTCTCAAAGCCACCATTACAAGTCTCTCATTTTTCTTTTCCACCTCCTGGCTTATTTCTTATTTGCACAAGAGCTTTTCCATTACCGGGGGCAGTTTAGGGCTGCTTACTGCTTTTGCATTTCATAATGGCAAGGCTAGGGGAGCAGCAATGTGGCTAAACCAAGGTTATATGGGAATATCACTCCTATGTCTTGCTGTTCATCTCCACATTGAAATGCAGTTATGCAGAAGATAACTATTTCCTTTTTGTAGGTAGCCTCACCCTAAAACTTTCTTTGCAGAAATGAGGTCCTTGCTTCAGTTTCATTTCATACTTTCCTTTTGCACATCTCTTCCATAGATGTGGCACATTGTCAAAGGAAAATGGAGAGGTGACTTCATTGCTGGAAATCTTCACATACTAAAAAAAACCCTAAACTAAGAATGAAAATGTTTGCCTGATTGAAAATAGTAATGGTCCAATGACTCCTTTGCTTTTTGTCCCTTGAGTCCTATGGATTCTACCAATCACCCAGGTAACAGCTGTAGCCAGGAGAACCTGAAATTAAGAAACAGAAGCAAAACAAACCCTGAAATATCAGGACAAGAAACGCGCTTCAGATGCTGAAGCTCCCTGTCATCTTTTTCTAATTTCACTGCTATTTCTTCTACTCCTTTCATGACTAAAAGTCTCACAGTTAATCTAATGCCTTCCTCTGTACTGACTGGTGAATGATTCTTCAGAGAGGGAAGAATCTTCCACCACACATCTCAGGCAAGCACTGGTGCAGGTGGGCACACCATCACCAGCAATTCTGTATGATCAAGAGCTTTTAGCTTTCTTTGTTATAGTAAAAGAGCACCAAATAGTATTGATTATCGAACGAGGAAAATTTGTCCTGGAGTATCTTCCTTCTGTTCTGCATTTTCAATGCAGCTTCAAAAAAGCATACAGGTTCTTCAAATAACCGAAGTACTATACTTTCCTTACAGGAATAGGTTACCCAGCATGAACTTTGAAGCAGAGATTCTGGCAGATCCACACGATAATTCAGGTATTTGGAAGTAAACAAACAAACAAACAAAAAAAGAGATAAAAGTAAAATGCCCATTCACTATAAATATATCTTAATTCTCTTGGCAACAGAATTGGAAGTTGTTAAAGGAAGAAAAAGAAAGAAACAGGGTGCTACACTGTATTCAGGTGATCAATCTGAGATAGATATTGATATCTGTACCTCCAGTTGGGCTGGATGTTGAATCCCTATTCATACCTCACAGAAACACAGCAGCCAGGGACGCGGGTTTCTGAAACAGCATAAGCATCCATGTAAGGTTCCTCACTTCAGTTAGGAGGAAATTAGGGTAGGAGCTGATTTTTTTTCCCTTCTCAACACTACCTTTTCAGTGCTGATCTCGGATGTTGAGGCTGGCACTACTGCTGCATCCTTGATGTAGCCATCTGTCTGAGATAGACCCTAGAGACAGCATTTAGCTGAATGGCATCTTTGAGTGAGCCTGCAGTCTTAGTCTTATCACTGCTCCTCAGACTCAAGCAGCTGGCCATTGTCCCCGGGCAGGAGCAACATCTTTAGTATGAGACATCAGGAAAGCTGGATTTTGCAGTAATTGCTTGTAGCCCCTTGAGTTGCCTGGCCCTTGGTTCAGAACTGGAAATCTTAGTTCTGGTGTGTAAGTATGAGCCCATCCAACTGAAATGCTTTTGCTGCCGATTGCCCTCATGGCCACAAGCCATGGTTCCTAGTGGGAATTCACCTCCCTGGCAGTGTGTTGCAGTCCCGTGTCAGTGAGAGCCAGAAATGAGGCACACGGGGTTAACTATTTTTGCTTCAGCTGCAGGTGTGCATCACCCCTAATAGCAAGTGTGCCAACAGCTGGGGGTTTCATTCATCCTATCCAGCATGTGTGAGAACCACAACCCTTCCAGAACCTCCTGAGCAATCATCTTCACCTTCTTGCCAGAAATACACTCCCTTTCTGCAAACCAAGTAGCATCCAGCTAAACACCTCCAGGAAATTATGGGTACATCTTCCTCAGGGCAACCTGCAGTAATGACCATCGCTTAACATGCTGGTGTCAAAGGACATCAGAGTAATTTTTGTATCTTTAGTGTTAACAGACTGAGTTTTCACATGAGCCCATGTGCATGGATGGCTCCTGGGCTGTGTGACCTCTGCACCATCTTCCCGAATCTCTGGCTTCTGTTGGGTTGGGCTGGGTTTGGTTTGGTTTCTTCCACGAGGTAAGTGCTTTGATCCTTCATTTGCCCGGGAGTTACTAACACACCATTCATATTTTTTTCTCAAGAGCTGTATGTCATCCCTTCCATGAGAAGTCTCACGGCTGAGGAGTATGTAGAGGCCTTTCAGTCATTTTTGGATCACTCAACAGAGCACCAGTGCATGGATGAGTTCAACAAGGAAGTGATGCCTCACATCATGGCTGGGTAAGGAGCGTGTCCACTGAGGTGGTAAGGCCACCTGTGACCTTTGGTCAGCAAACATCTTGGAGGATGACAGATTTTCTGGGGCACGAATGAACTTCTAATGCTTTTAAGTTTTGATTCCATTAACAGCAGCCTTTCAAATATTCTGTTTAAGTGCAATTTCAATTAATAACCTGTGCTTCTTCTCTGCTTATGTAAAGGAAAGAATCAAGATCTTATTTGCATGTCCATCTGCTTTCATTAGCTGATTTTCCAAGGATTAAAGCGTATTGAATTTTTTTTCTATTCTTTTTCTCTTTCTTTCTTTCTTTTTTCCTTTTTTCCTCTATCTCTTTATCTACCTACCTACCTATCTATCTTTTTTTCCCCAAAATGAAGCTTCCTTGTTCTTTCTTTCCACTTTTGGGACTTCCTCACACATCAGTCCAAAAGAACATCTCTAATTCCATTCTAATGACTAATTCTTGGTTTCCTCAGTCCCCTAAGACTCCTTATTTCTATCCCAAGTTAATTTGCATTGCTTAAGCATCAAATGATAATCAGTTTTGTGAAGTACTGATGTAATATACTAAGCCTGTGTGACTGTAGATAGTTTCAGAACAGGCTAGATCCAAGCTACAAGAAAACAGTTTCAAGTCTGGATAATTGCTGGATATTGTGGAAAGTGTGTTCTCCTTTGAGTAAAAAAAGGCAGATAACTCCAGACCAGACATTATATCTATCTATCGATCTGTTTCTCAATCAATCTATCTATCCAATGCAAAAGAGGTAACAATAAAGAAAAAAATTGTTTGAGGAAATGCTAGAAGAAATATTTCTAAATATTTCTTAATGTGAATTTTAAACAATTTTGTTTGCTGGACCAATACAAAATATTACAGCTTAGTAGGATGCTAGTGAATATGCTGTGTAGAAAACCAAACTTGTCTCCCGAGGGTGCAGAGATTTGCCCCATTTTGCCTTGTCCCCATAGCCTCAGCCAGGCACAGCTCTGCTCCCTTGATGGGAACTTCTCGCTCTGGGTTTTCTTGAGGCCTTTATGCGTGGTGTCAGCCATGGCTTGAAGAAAACTCTGGCAGGGGAATAGAAATCCTATATTCTGCTCCTTACTGTACTTTGAAATATGAGCCTGCTCATACAGGGTAAGCTCCTGCCATATAGTAAGTTATAGCTGAGTTCCAAAGAGATGCTCAGATTTCATGTGGCACGTCTCAGTTAAATTGGGCCAATATGGTATCCAAGATGTTATAATTAAAATATAGAATTATGTGACACACTGTGGTTGAGTAACATGTACTTGTAATTTCAGTCTCGGCAATGGAAAATCGACTATAAACATTCTGGGAGTGGGGAGCGGCACAGGTAAGGAGCTGAACAGCACAGCAGATGCTGGGGAATGGTGGTCCTTGGGGAAAGGGAAAGTACTACCCAGGTTTTGAGCTATGGGGAGAACTGTTCATGCATTAATAACACTATTTCTCGTGGCAATCTCTTGATGACTGTCATCTGGCCTCATGTTTCTAAAATCAAGGAATCTTTCATTAGATTAAGTAGGAAAGCATCTTCAAACCTCACTGGAAAGACTTTGAGTGTCTGGGAGGTTGTTCCCACCCACAGGCCCCATCCTAGAGTCTCCCACCCAAAGGCTCTTCCCAGTTTATGTTGCTTTCAGGGCCACGAGGGGCTGTGGAGATGGACATGGGCCGGCACTTCTACCAGCATGGCACCTAGTCAGCTTCTTCAGGTTGGGTTTCTTTGTTACAGCTCTGTCTTTATCCAGAGATTACTAGAGTTTAGCTGCAAATGGTATTTCCCCCCAGAGATGAAAAATCTTTTGGAAGAAATGGCTTTAAAGCTGTTCTAAATGAACAGTGAAACATCCGGCTTTGCTCCCAGGGAATCTGGAAAAGAGTAAAAAAAAAAAAAAGTAGAGAAAAGAAGTAGCAATTCAATTTATCAGTTTGATTTTGCTTTAAAAAGTATTTTCAGCTGAATTATAAGTGTTAATACTTTCTAGTGAAAGCATTTTTTCTCACTCTGTCTGCTTGTTTTCCTGAGTAAGACAAAAATAACAGGCTATTTTCCCCAGCTGGGAATATGTTGTAGCATATGAGAAAGCAAGGAGGAAGAAATCATTCAGTTCTCAATTACACTTCTTTCTCATTATGTACTGTAACACCGAAATTCTGTCTGACTCCAAGAAAACATGAGGGAAAGGAAAATCCTTTACATTACTCACATTTTTCCTTATTTCCTCTTCAGAAGAACTTTCAGTGAGAAAGTAAAAGCCCTAAGACATTCTAGCAGGGATGCACGCTCCCATCTTGCAGTGCCAAGGCTGCCTGAGCCGAACCTGCGCGGGCGGCATGGGAGTGAGCCAGCATGGCACCGAGCAAAAGGTCAAGTGTGATCCCTGACCTTCTGAGGCTTGGACTCTGATTTCACACGGCCCGAATCAGTGTAGTCAACTGAACTATTAATGGAGGTTGTGACCTGCTCTGCATTCTGAAAGGCTGCTGCTTGATCCCGGTCACGCTTTCTCATTCAGCCCATGTTCCCCATGGCTGGTGCAAGCATCTTGGCTGTCAGCTGCTGGTGAGGATCAGGCAGGTTGTGGTTTGCAGGGTATTTCACTCTTGCTTCAGCAGTGTCCCAGTGTGGCTTGTGCTGAAGGGCTGCTGCTGGCAGCTTCCTTGCTTTTCTCCAGGAGGCATACGAGCCTGAGAATGGGACAAATCTTGAGCAGCATCAGCTTGTGTTGAGTTGTCGTGGTTCACCATTATTGTATCATCAGCATCTTTATATTTAAGTTGGCTGGAATTTCCCTCCTTAAATTCTACTTGCTATAACACCTATCAGAGATGTCAGTTCTTGTCATAGTTAGTCCAGAAGGTCAGAGAAGATACAGGATCTGGTGTCGAGTGCCCTGAGACTACAGTTTGCATGGACAGGAGAATTTCTAGGCCCCACCCTCAACAGCAAACAGGATTCTCGCGGAGATCCATTCAAAGTGATCATCTCCGCTGTTTCTTTCCGTAATCCCACATGAACCAGATGAGTTTTGAACACTTAGCACATCATGGCCTTTTTGGTAGGAGCAAAGGTGACCTGCATCACCTCAAAAGGCACTGGGGATTTCCTAGGACAAGACAGGCTGATGCTTATTCCTCCAGAGCTCAGACTGTCTTGGAGGAGCAGCAGTAACTAAATATGAAGGGCAATTACTTGATGCTCAAGCTGCAAATCTGTGAGCCTTTATTTGCAGCTCCAATACAACAGCTGGATAACGGATGCCCAGACCATGTAGCCTGACTCCAGAGGGGACTGACCCACTGTGTATCCCCAGCTCTCCAAGCAGTGTCACACCTGTGACAAAGTAGCTGTCACCTCCCCAGGGCAGCACCAACGTCAAAGCTGCATGGCTGTGTTGACTTTCTGCTTGTTCCTCATTTTAACTGTGTTTTTCTCAAAAACTTATGTTTCCTATTGTAAAGAATATTACCATTAGTAGGTTTCTGCTCTGTTGCTTATCTCTTCTTTATTCTTGGTGTTATCTGCAAATAATGTTACCTTGCCAGCTGGGGCATTGGCATCCTTTCATCACCACTCAAGGGTTTTTAAAAATAACAGATTTGTGTTTATTGAATAGGTGAACAGGATCTAAAAATGATCCAGATCCTGCAGGCTGCACACCCAGGGGTCCTTATTAACAACGAAATCATAGAGCCCAACCCACAGCACGTGGCTGCCTACAAAGGTGAGGCATCTCGGGCCCCTCTGCCATCTGGGGTATGGCCAAGAACATTGATTTGTATGATCATTTTTTATGCCGTCCTGTGAAATTTGTGTTTTGTTTCTACTTTTTAAACAGAGCTGGTTAATCGAGCCCCAGATCTGCAGGGGGTCTCTTTTACTTGGCACCAGCTCACTTCCTCAGAGTATGAACAACAGGTGAAAGAGAAAAACACACACAAGAAGTTTGACTTCATCCATATGATTCAGGTAGGATATTCAGTACTGCTGGTTTTAACTACTTGGTGAGTATGGTGTGAGTATGGTGAGCTGTGCAGAGAACTTGCCTAGAAACTTAAAGGGATGCACACATCTCCCAGCCACAAAATTGGCAGCAATGGCAGGGAAGCGTCAGAATTGGTGTTAAGCACCAGCTCTGCACAAGCCTTGCAGGGCTGGAGTAGGAATAACTGCATGCAGCTCTCCCTTCCAGATGCTGTACCGTGTGGAAGATATTCCTAACACCATCAAGTTTTTCCACAGCTGCCTCAACCATCAGGGTAAACTCCTGATCATAATTCTGTCAGGTAAGAGAGGCCTCCCATTTTTGCATCGTTCCTATGAAGTATGAAAGCCAGCTATAATTGCCTTGGGATTTCAGTAGCACTAATTCTATAGCAGTTAAACAAAACAAATGTTTTCATGAGCTTGGACTGTTGGACCCCAGTGTCTGATGGAACCACATGGATGTAACCTGCATGCTCTTGCTTCCCTGCATTTAAAGTAGATGAATGACTGTGAAATTATTGCCTAGAGAGAAGAGCAGCTGTGCCTGGAAGAAGGCCAGTCCTTGTTCATGGTGAAATGAGCACCATGCAAAGACAGCCTGAGCTCTGGGGCTCTTCTCTCCACACAGCAATGGCCAAGACTCAAGCAAGACAAAGGGAGCTGCCTAGACCTGTGGGCTTTGAAAAGGAGACACTTATAATATTGCCATACTTGTTTTTTAAAAAGTGTTTTTTTTTCCAGTGTGTCATTCTCGAGTCCCCAGCTGGTGGTGTGGTGAATAAAGCACAGTTCCCCATGTTAAGCATTAAGCCTTCCACCAGAAGTAGTGGGGAGGCCGATCCGGAATGAGCTTTTTAGGTGTATGCTTTTAGACGTGCCTGATCTTCCTCCCCTCCACAGACAGCAGCGGTTGGGCCAGCTTATGGAAGAAGTACAGGCACTGCTTGCCTTCAACTGACAGCGGCCACTACATCACCTCCGACAGCATCACGGCAGTTCTGAGGAAGCTCAGCATCAAGTACCACGTTTATGAGTTCCCATCGGGTTGGGACATCACTGAGTGCTTCATTGAGGGGGACCCAGCTGGAGGCCATATGATGGATTTCCTGACAGGGACAAAAAATTTCCTGGGCACAGCACCAGCAGCTCTGCGGAGCCGCCTGCAGGAAGCTCTCTGCCAGCCCGAATGCAGCAGCAGGAAGGATGGGAGAGTCATTTTCTGCAACAATCTCAGTATGATTGTAGTGGAATCCTAGAGCCTGGACCAACTTGCAGAGGTGACGTAGGGCAATGCAATTGTCCAAACGGCAAAGCAGAGATAGGCAGGCAGTAGAGCAGGGTTCATCCATCCCAGTCTGGGAGGATGGAGCGGCCTGTGATGTCAAGGATGAACTTTTTGTTCTGCTGAGCTCAAGAGTTCACCCTGGATTGTTCAGTATCAGCAGAATTTGTTTCAGAATGTAAAAAGCTGTATTATACTACAAGCCTGCATGGAAAGTATTTTATTATAGAATTGCAGAATTGTTTGAGTTGGAAGGGACTTTTAAAGGTCATCTAGTCCTAGTTCCCTGCAATGAACAGGGACGTGCACAGATAGATCAGTTGCTCAGAGCCCTTGAATTGATCTTGAATTTCTTCAGGGATGGGGCTTCCACCATGTCTCTGGGCAACCTGTGCCAGTGCTTCACAACCTATATTGTAGAAATCTTTTTCTTATATCTCATCTAAATCTCCCCTCTTTTAGTTCGAAACCATTTCCCTTTTTCCTATTATAACAGAGCAGAGCTGCTAAAGAGGCTGACCCCTTCTTTCTCAATGATCCCTTTTAAATACTGAAAGTCCACTCTCAGCTCTCCCTGGAACCTTCTCCAGGCTGAACACCCCCAGCTCTCAGCCTGTCCACATAGGACATCCTTTGGATCATTTTTTGTGGTCCTCCTCTGAATGCACTCTGAAAAGTCCATGTCTCTCCTGTACTGAGGACTCCACATCTGGACACAGTACTCCAGGTGAGGTCTCATCAGCACAGAGTAAAGGGGCAGGATTGCCCTCTTCTCCCTGCTGCCCATGCTTCTTTTGATGCAGCCCGGGATACAGTTAGCTTTCTAGGCTGAGGGCAATTGCTGGCTCATGTCTGGCTTAGCAACCACCAGTACCCTCAGGTTCTTTTCCGCAGGGCTGTGCTTTTTCCTATCATACCCCAGCTTTTATTGATAGTGAAGGTTGCCACTTTCCAGGTTCCTGACCTTGCACTGGGCTTTGTGGAACCTCACGATGTTCTTCTGGGCCCACTGCTCTAGACTGTCTAGGTCTCTCTGGATGGCATCCCATCCCTCAGATGTGTTGACTGCACTACACACCTTGGCATCATCCATAAGCTTGCTAATTGTGCACTCAGTCCTGTTATTGAGGTCGCTGATGAAGATGTTAAAGAACACTGGTCCCAGCACTGACCCCTCAGGGACACCACTGATCTCCACACAGACATTGAGCCATTGACCACCACTCTCTGGTATGCATCCTCTCTATGCTTTTGATGCTGGGAATTCCAGCTTTCTATGCAGACAACATGTTTACATACCTGAAAATGTGCCCATGTGACACCATATGATGCCCCCACACCAGCAGCATATATGCACTGGTTTCTTACAACAGTACCTGGACGAGACCTGCAAGGTATCCCCACTGCTTTGCACTAAGCATGTGCCTCAGTGCACCCTGACAGGAGCATGCTGCTCTGCACTAGGTTTTTTGGTGGTTTTCTTTTTTTTTTTTTTAAATCAGCATTGTTATTTACTATCCCAAACACCTCAGCATCTCGTAATATAGACGTCTTAACATTTTTTTTCCACCTTTTTGTTTGGAGAATTTCTGGATTCCGGGATAATACTTGCCCTGCACTCGTTCAGGCAGGTATTAATTTTGTTACTTTCTTTCTACTGTTTTTTTCTCCATACAAAATAAAAGCCATTTTGAAACAGAAAATGTCACATCTTGCTCTGTCTAAGTGGGCTTAGAGAAAGTGAAGAACGAAGAGGTTATTAAGTTAAAAATAGAGAAATGCAAAGTACCATTTTATGGAAACACTAAGTGCTTCTTGTAAGTGAGAAAAGTGACCCTGAGGATGTGTGCAGACACATTTGCATTGCTGCAGTCCATGTGCTGTGCCTGCCCTTGGGGTGACATCACCACAGCACCTATATTACTTAAATAAAATGAATAGGCTTATGATGGTCATGCAGGTAAGTCAAAACCTCACTCTGCACTTTGGGCCATGGAACAAAGAGAAAAGCTGTGGAAAAACAGTAGTTTGACTTCACCTCCCTGGAAGGACCATGGCTTCATGATCTGTAAGTACTTTTTCTTTGCTGTTGGTCTAAGAAATGTTAATCCACACTGGAGAGCCTCCTTTAGAGCCTCCTCTATCCTGTGCCTTGTGCACAAGCTTTCTGTTTTGATCCATACTTTTCTTATTCCATAGCTGGCTCCTCTGCTTTCTCACAGCAGTGGGTGGGGAGTATATGGCTGGCCTGGTGGAAGGCTGTTAGCACTGCTCCAATCAACATCCTCCCTCCACTATTAATTCCCATCGTTTATTTCCAGGTGTTAATTAAGTCTTTGCCTCTCCTTGGTAAAATAAAAATAAAAACATATATATAGCAAATATTAGGCTTCCTTTTCAAGCTTTAAAGTACCACCTACCTTATATATTACCCCAGATCTTCCCCAGCCAAACAGCACTTATGGTCTCACTCCTCTGTGGAGTTTCCTATGCATCTGAGCATATAGATGTGTTTCCAGTAAGCAGATGCTGAAAGAAAAAAAAGATCAGTGAGAACAAAATTTACTCATATCTTTGTAAATCAATGCACAAATGCTCAAAAGAAAAGGAGCACTTCAAAGCAGACTGTTCAACAACAGCGTAGGGAGATGAAATGGGGCACCCCCATTAGAAACACCACTGCTTAATGCTTTAGCTGCAATTTTCCTTTTGATTCTTGAAAAGCAAGTCATTTAACAAGTCATTTAACAACAACTCTTCTTGTATACATGGAGCAAGTACTATTCTGAGCGTCTATTCCTTTTATTTATATATTTACTCTTGCTTTAATATGGTATCTATTAGCTATTAGTGGTGCTTTTTAAGACACGCTGCCTTCCCACGTATAAATTCTATCTCTGAGCTGACCACGAGAGGGCTGCAGCAGCCAATGGATTGTGTCTGGCTTACTTGGATGCTGAGCTGAAGGAACAGAGCCAAGCAGGCAGGCTCACACTGCTCTGCCTGGGCTGTGCTTGCTTCACTGAATCCATGCATCTGCAGGTTTGTGACTGCTGGGATAGTTTGCTGCACAGTATCTGTATTAATAATGTATTAATAGCGTTTCTTGAAACACCACGCTTTGCTTCAGGTGCTAGCCTTGGAGATCCCTTGGGAGAAGGCAACAGAGGCAAGATCTAGATGTGGCAGAGCAGTTCTCACATAGCCTAATCCAGGACTAAGGGCTGGTCCTTCGGTATCAGGCCATATCTCTAAAAAGGTATTTATCACTCTAATTCTTAAACTCAAATATTTTTAAAGGTTGGGTCCTGCAGGCAGAACAATCTTTTTAGAGTTCAAAACATCTTTATTATTAACCATTGCTTCTTGAAGTAGCTTACTTCCAATACTCAAGTGTCAGCAGATAAACTGTGCTAGAAGATGAGAGTGAGAGTTCTGGTGAGGTCTCATAAGATGTCTGTGGTCCAGTGAGTGCGTGGTCACTCTGCCACATGCCAAACTGTGAGGAAAGCAGGTGGCAAAACCTTCAATCTGACGTATGTTGGTGTGGACATAATGGACAGTACAAATAACCACACCCACACACAGCAGTGTGTGCTTACATCCAATCCCATCCCAACCCACTTCATCCCATCCAAGCAGAGCAGCCCCAGGCTGGTTGGGGAGAAGCAGACCATTTTGGTGATGCTCCTTCTGACTTGTTTCACCAAAAACCACTCAGCCAGGCTCAGGATGTCTCAGGGTGAGCATCTCAGGGTCCAGACAGATGTCCCTAATAACATCTGCTCCCCTGCTCCTGCTTCCTCAGTCAGTCAGATCAATTCTGCTGGGAAGTGCCAAAATTCAGATGTGCATCCCTTCAGAAATTACAAAGCAATGGGAAAACAAACCTTACAGCTTATCTGCCTACTATGAATAGATAATTTCAGCAGGACACAGGACCTGGGGCTGCAGCATGGCCATCCAGAGGGTGTTGTGGACCAGTCCTCCTCCACTGTGTTATCTGACACTACTGGTTTTAGGGAAAAGAGCAGCTGTCCCAAAATGCAGGAAATGTGTTGTTCAGCCCCAATTCTTTAATTTTTTGTTCAAGCAGGAGGGAAATAAATAAATAAATAGATTGATTGGTCATTAGATAAGTAAATAAGTAATCAAATAACATTTTTAAAATTGCTCCAAAAATTTTGAAGAATCCAAGAGAGAACAAGCTCCTGCTGGAAAGACCTTGGGTTTGCAGAACATATGAGCAGGGCAGATCCCAGCGGGGCTTTTCTTTTCATCTCTGAGAAGGAACGAGGAAGAGCAGGACAGGAGCTTCATTTCCACTAGTCAGTTCCCGATAGTCTGATGACACTTTTGGTTAGATCTGCCAGCAAGTTTGGAAAGAAAACATATGTTTTGTCATACATCATAAGGATGGTACCTCTGGTGAATTTAGAAACGTGATAAGGAAAGTTTCAGAGCTGTCTCTCGGTCCCTACTGCTTTGCTAACATTTTTTAGCACTCTGTATGTATCTGTCAACAGCTGATACTATGGATTAAGGCAGATTACAGCTCATTGCTCCTGTGGCTGTTTTCTCCAGGCTGTAATTCAATGGGCACTTTGCCATTGACTTCGCAGTGACAAGACCAAGGCCCGTGTGTTTATGTACACTCCGCAGTGCTTTCCTATCTCAGAGTGGTTTTACTTTATACAGTGTCTAAATGATCAGCTGCAGCAATAAATTAATTTTATTACTTCCAGGATAAGGGCTGAGGTACTTTTCATGCTGAACAAACTGTCTGATGATCCTGATTTGCAGGTCTTTTCCTATAGATAAATGTTGACTTTGGTTTGTTGTGCGTATACAGACTGTGTTGCATGTCATTTGGGAAAAGGGGAAGGTATTTGAGGAAATTCAGGGAAAACTTCTACAGATTTAATACATTTAACTGACAAACTTTCTTCATCACCAGCAAGTTGTTCTCTGATTTTCAATATTGTTTATCCCTTTGGAAGGAAAAAAAAATTCCTTTTTACTCTCATGAACCAACTGAAGGCAGAAATAATTAGCACTGGAGAATCAAACCACTCAGCTGTGAATAACCTTCAGTCCAAAAGCTATTCACGAAAGCTTACCCCTGCATGATGGGACTTGTTTTCCTACATGCTTTAAAACAGCTAGAAGAATATAAATTTCATCCTAGACATCCTTCCTAAGCTTTCTCAGTTTGCAAGGTTCCCCTCATCTTTCCTAGCAGATCATCCTCCCCTCCACGGCCTTGTCCCAAGGAACCCAAAGGAAGGCAAACCTCTCTCCTGTGCCCTGTGGACATGAGGTCATGGCCAGCCTCCCAGTGTGACTCACTGCCAGAAGTTAATGCAGATTTTTTTGCTTCAAAGCCTAAGGTGACACAAAACAAATGACCTGCTCTCGTCCGGATGTTTTACGAGGAGAGTGTCACCCCATTACAAATGTCTTAAAACAACAAGTGCTGCCAGAGTATAACTTCACTGCACTTTGTGTAAATTATTCCTGAGCCAGTCCTTAATGTTTATTAATATCACTGATGCTTCTGAAATGTTAAGTAAGGACATTAATGTAACCCATAGTACAAAGCCATAATAGGATATTAATAGGAGAGCTCACCTCCATATGGGAGAGCTGTATTGTGGGTCCCAGTGTGTGCAGAGGAGCAGCCACCCCAGGCAAATACAATCTCTGCACTTGTGTTGGACTGGCAGGAATTTAAATAAATCTGTCACCTCCATCACCCAGCAACTAATTATTTTTGAAAATAATTAGCATTCATACTGGAGTCATGCTCATATATTTCTCAGCACAGACCCTGAAAGTTTAATATACAAAATGTCACTTGGCTCAGAAAAAGCCCCACCTTGACCAGAATCCTGCTAGGGAAAGGCTAGGGAAAGAAATAGGGAATATAGAAAATAGCCTTTCCTTTATGACTCATCTTGTTTCTTTCCCATTCACT